TTGTGGCAAACCACAAGAGCCTCCTTGTCGTGACCAGGGGGTGGACAAGCTGCAGAATTGCACCTGGTCATGCGCCCGCTCCAGACCAACGCCTATCTAAACTTGCGCATTCGGTCTCTACCCCTCGTTCGTGCGTGCTTCACGTACAAACAGCGAAAGATAGCTTAAGAGAGAACGGTCAGTTTACCTTCGTCTGCAGACCTGTTCGGATCTCTTCCGTCCCACGCGCGTGTCGACGCAAACGCCTCTCACTTTCCTCAGCCTTGCTTCTATCACAGAGTCTGACATGACAGCTGGGTCCGCCGAAAGACACAATGGGTGGGCTCCAGGGTCGAGGACTTTTGCGCTGTTAGCTCCAGATGGAGGAGGCTTTTGCACGGCCGGTCTCACGCACGCGGCACGAAGGCTATTGAGGGCTTCAATAGACCTCTCTGTGCCGGTATTTCAGCTGTGCCTCCGGGCAGTTCGTCTCCACTAATTAGTCTTACCTCTCCCTACGGATCTGACAAACGCCGCTCAACGCTCGGGACTATCCTCACAGCGCGCCTCCCCTGATTCAGCGCTTCAGCGACTGTCTGTAGTTCGAATCCACAGAGTCTGTCACAGAGGACGGAGTAAGCCGCCCCGGACCCAAGCTATTCTTCCTCGGCCAGACTACCCTTGATTTTTTCTTTTACCAGCCCATAGCAAGACGGGTGGAGAGCCAGCCGCATTTCCTTGATGCCAAGCTTTCGATAACCAGTCCGCCTCACTACTCCGATCCTAGACGCACCAAGAGACAGATCCAGCTCTTCGACAGCTACTTTCCTTCTACGTTGCACGACTTGACGAGGGAACATACTCATGTCCGGATAGACAACGAGCGTTTGAGGCATTGCTTGTCCAATCCCCATCGCACATCGGTCTGCTTCGTGACCTTGACCAAAAATAATGACCAATGCCTGCACATTGTGTATATCGCAGGTTTGTCGGAATAGTTATGGGGGGTGGCTGGGTTCTCGGACAATAGGCTACCGTCATAAATCTGACGATAGCTTCTTCCTCAAGTCTGTAGCCACGGTTGGTGGCAGACAAGGAGGCCATACGAGTTACAAGGTGCTTCCGTTTATTCTGCTTGGCCATGAGACGGTCACACGGCTGGCACGCCATAGCGCAGTGTGTTCCTGCAGAAGCGTCATGCAGCTAAACCGACAGCGCCTTGGACACGAGAAACACCAGCGCTGCGGGCGGGTAGGCGCTAACCTCTTTAACCATGACCTCATCCCGACATCCCCGTCGCGTCCAGAACGCGCCGTGGGACAACCCTTCGCAATAACCCAGAGCATGTCTCGAACCTGCCAGCATTGGGGCTCTGAAGTATGTAAGGGGTGGGTGCGGATAAGAATTGTTGTGAGCCGGACGGCATCGAACGGCATGCAGGTTTGGCGGGTCTGAACTGACTTGCCATTTACCGCCGACTCGGCGCGCCCCCAAAATACATCTGGCCGACAGCAAGCGGTCGGACCAGCTGAGGCTGTTGGCATCAGCGCTCGCTGTCAAGCCGCCGTCGCGAGCTTTGTTCACGTCGGTCCATATTCCCTCAGTTGGCCACGTTTTCATAGGAAATGCCACTCAGAAGCGCGCGCCACGTTTGTCTGCAAGTTTTGCCGCAATTTCACCATTGTCGGTGGCTCCCAAAAGGACCAGAGAACACAAGTCATCTCGGAGGGAACGCTTGGCCGCTCGATCCGCGGTGGCATCGAGACACCAAGGCCGAGTGCTGGACGTCGTCACTAACACGCAGGAGAAGGAGCAAGGAACGGAAAACTCGTCACACATGAGCACGAGACCGCGCGAGAAACGGCTGACGACAAGAAGGGAAACAGTGTTCGAGATGATCAATCCACACTGTCTCTGTGTCTCCGCTTTACCCCTGAACCTTCTGGGTCTATCCCAGTACCTCGCAGCATCGGCCTGCAGCCTCTCTGAGCCAGCCAATGCAACACCAAGTGGCGCTTGCGAGCCACTATGGCTGCCACGCTGACTATGCAGCCGTGGCTTGGATACGCCCGAGTTGGTCTATCTAGTGATCACGAACCTGGCTGCCCCCGCCCACCGCTTCATCCGATCGAGTGGGTGAGGGACACCTCTCTTCTCTCCTTGTCTCGTACCGTCCTGACTGACAGGCTCTGTCTAGCCATCTCTGACGCCGCTTGCTCTGGTTCTCTATTATTCTGACGTTCGTGCCAATTGTCGCTGTCAGTAATTGTTTGTACCCATGGCCACCAGCGCGAATATGGATCAAATTGTCGTTTCACGGCTCACAGCGTGAGAATCCAGCGATGGGGCCATTGGGTCCTATCAGGGTACTGTCGATCCGGAATACCGTAGGCTGTCTTTGGCTCGATGAGGTTGATCGGACACTGACTCATTCGTTCGGGACAGGCAGCCCCATTGCTGATCCTAGCCAGCGCCTGCTAGGGGTATTTGTTTCTGAGGGCCCTTCAATAATGCGACCTCGCGTTGTTCGTCCAGCGTGTACCTCACGAAGCTGCAACCCCTTTTCGCACAATGTCTTGGCGTTCAGGCGTCCAGCCCACATGGCCTGGGCTCGAACCTACACCACACCACACAGCGCGTCTGATCTCGGACGAACTATTTGGCTGACCATCGATCCCCGAGGTGCAAGCAAAATCCTGGTGGCGGTTGTTTTCTCGGCAGGCAGGACATGTTCGTTGCGACTCTCAGCCAAACATAAGTCACTATTTGATCTACATGGGATTTTTGAGCCACCCGTCTTGACTCAAGACAGTGGAAGATCATGGCGTATTTTTCTTGACTAGGGAATCTCATGTGCTTCACACGCTCGAACGTAGTCGCACCCAAGTCTACTAACAATAGCACCCTGCTCGCTGCACAGTACAAGCATACCACACTAGCCAGCTTGGGGACTTCTGCCGGGCCTTCAAACTACTGCCGCAGCATGGCCAAGCAGTCTCAGTTACACCAATGAACAAGTGTAAGCTTCGTGCTGGTGCATGAATGATCATCGTCGAAAACTCTAGAATACCGCGTGCCCGCTTCTGGACATATGTCAGATCTATTAATCCAGCTCCAAACTCGAAGGTTTCTCCACGCTGGCATGTGCGGCGACTGCATATGAGTCGCAAAAAGGATGCTTCCACAGAGCTTCCGCGGCGCCTCTAGGGTAAAGGAGAGCCGGATCGCCGGGGCAGAGGCGTCGGAAACTACTGGACCGAGTGCGTAGTTCCGACATTCACGGCAATGATGAATTTGTCTGATGTTGTCTCCTGGCCATTTCTGGAGCTGCAGGCGTCGGTCAGAGCATTCCCGAACAGTGCTGCTGAAACGTCAACAAGCCATGCCCCCGCATGGCTCTACCCAGTAAGCCACGACGAGGCTCTCAATCGTTCCCACGCCGGCAGATCCCAGGGAGACCGTCCGGACCGTTATGCGCTTTACACCAGCTCCTCACCCTTGCTGTTCATGGCCGCACCAGAGCATCAAGCGTCCCGAAATGGATGTCATGATAGCCTTGCCGGGCACGCATTAGGTGTCGGGCCCGCGCATCGGCAGGCTGTGTAGTTCGGCTGCGACGACCATCGAAAGCAAACCCTAGTCGGGCTCTGGGATCCACGCCGCCCGTTCGTCTGGTGTCGTGTCCCTAGTATGCGGCGCTGGTTTAGCGAGAGGGCTCTACCGGGATGACAATGGGATCCGCGAGCCGCGTGCTTGGGCCCCAGTGTCAGCATGTCTGGGGAATATGGGTGACGCATTCGGGAACACCCAGCGTTGCATATTGGTTATTTCTAGCGATTTCCTCTAGTCGGTCTGAGCTGGTGAGTTTTCGTGTTCACGGGTTCTTACTGGTATGAAGCGGTGGGGTCGATGGGCGAGGTCTCGGTCTCGGATCAATTCGCCCGAGTGGTGGTTACGCTGTGGTAGCGGCTTGCCTTGAAGTGACCGAGTGCAGGTCTGCTTGTGCGTGGTGTCATGGAGGTGTCATGGACTCACGGGGATTCGAGGCGTCATGGGTTGCTGTGAGATGGATGTCGAGACATGCCCTGCTTGGCCAGAGGATGTCGAGATGCGCCATTCGTTTTGCGTCTTTGCATGGACTTCATGGGGATATAGGGAGCCGTTGAATTATTCAAGAATAAGTAAATAAGAGGTTGATCGTAGGGGCCATGAGCGCATGCAATACGTCCCATGTCAGCGCTTGTGAAGGAGCTGATTGTCATTTCTACACATCCGCCTTGCGTAGTACGCATTGTGCAATTGAATGCTCAGGTTTCGCCCTGCACACGAACTGTAGGCCATCGCGTGTATAATGGCATGACATGTGCTGCCGTTTGCCGCAAGAGCTACGATGTCTACTCTCGCTGTCGTCCGCGTTGACTCCATGGTAGGAGGAACGGTCGTTCGGTTGTTTGACTCGGGTCGAGAAATCGAGTGCCACGTGTGGTCAACATGGCGTGTTTCCACGTCCAGGGAAGACGAAGAGGGAAATAACACAGGACGCATGCCCTTTTATGCGGTTGCTGATCCCCGTGTCGAGCTTCACAGCCGCCTGACGGTACGAAACGTGGCCGGAAGACGATGCAGTTGCGCAGTTCAAGTCATGCGATCTCGTCAGCGGGAGAAGTCGCGGACATGCGGGCCGTGCCGTGTAGTCTACGGAACACCGCGGACCGTGTTCGTCTCTGGACCTGCGGCGCATTGTCGCCAGCAGCTCGGTCGAGTTTTCACACTCTCGGAAGACGAAAGTGGTGTCTACATGGGGAACCTGGAGCAACTGGGTAGAGAAGAATCGCAATTCGAGGCAAATCCGTGCATATCGCCCGCTGACATCGGCGGCTGAACATGCGTGACACGATCACTTGGTCAACAGTGTGCGGCCCGGAACTCATTATCAAGAAAACACGCCCAATGCGTCGATGACTCTCTTAACTACTACACGTCGACCACCAGACACTGTCCCCGGACACTGCCACTCGATGTTATGCATCCTTGAGATCGCTCGAGTCCGCGCCCCTCGCCCTCCACCGCAGGGCGCCCTGTGCCGAGCTGCCCGCCGGCACCGCATACTCGTCCACAACATCCATCCTCTCAATGGCATCGCACACGTCCGGTGGCGGCGCCATCTTGAAGACGGCCTGGACGTCGCCCTGCGGCGACAGCCCCGCCAGCCTCCAGTTGACGAGCCAGGCCTGGGTCGGCCTGCGGGCGGCGAAGAAGCGCCTCTCGTAGAGGGCGATGAGCAGCAGCGTCGGCGCGTTGACGGTCCTCACGAGCGCGACGTGCACGTCGTGAAAGCGCCGCGGGGAGACGACCATCTTGAGCAGCAGCAGCACAAGGAGGGCGAGAACGTTGCACGCGGGTGGGTAGGCGAATATGGCGTCGCTCTTGACGCCCTCGAACGTGAGGACGGTGCGGCGGAACTGAATCTCGGCTGCCTCGTCGGCGATAATCTTGGAGAAGGTGTTCGTCAACATGGCGACGAGGATGGTCAGGAAGAGGGTATTGCCGAGAAAGGCAAAGGCGATCATGAGGGCCGGGCCGAGGACGAGGTGAAAGTCGACGGACTGGTCAACGCCCGTACCGTCGAGGCCGAACCAGATCCAGAGCATCCACTTGCCGGTCGTGGCCCAGCTCGGTGTCACGCTGCTGTTGTCGTTGGCGTCGATGAGCCACTGCATGGCGAGTAGGAAGCCTGTGAAGCACCAGAGCGCAAGAAAGGTGAGGAGCGTAAAGTCCTTCATCATGGCATGCAGAGAGATGAAGACGATATTGTCGGGCATGAGATTGAAGGCGAGACGCGTGAGCAGCACAGGAGCTGCAATGCAAAGAAGCTTGAGTCCCAGACCATCGGGAAACGTCCCGACCGAAGCATCGTAGACGCGACCGAGGAGGTAGGCGAAGAAGACACAGGTGAAGGACATGTCGAGGAAGGACCACAATGCCTGCGAGTGGACTTCCCATCCATGCTCGATGATGGCAGCGAATTCAGCGAGGACCCAGCCTGTGGTCCAGACGACGAACAGCAGCTCAAATGTCTCGTTGCGGCTGTTGCGGTACGTCATGGTGAGGACATAGAGAACGACGAGGATGACAAAGTGGACGAATTCGATGGCGTTACGGTTTCGCGGCACAATGAGACGGCGGTGGTTCAGCACAGGGGCTTTGCGCGGGTCGTAGAGGGCGATGGGTTGGTGGCCATGATAGCGGTCGGGCAGTATGTCGATGAAGGAGTTCGGTGTGTAGACGATGCGGCCTTCGTAGACGGCATTGACAACACGGCGACAGGCAGGAGAGTTGATGAAGGACTTGCTCTCGGAGACGATGGCGAGCTCGAGGGCCGTCAGGCGACGGCCGCAGTCGTCGTCAGCAGTCTGGTCCTGGACAGGCACTGAGTTTGCGCCTCGGACTGGACAGCAGTCGGGCCCGGTGGAAGGGATCAAAGCCTTCGACTAGACATGAGAGAGCAGCAGGAGGCCCTGGGGCCAGGATTGGCCTCATGGAAGCGGCGAAGGACCTGGGTGGCAGCAAGCTCGCAGAGTGTCGACCTCGCGAGGTTGATGGTCTGATCTAGAGTCCTCGTCTGCTCGCGGAGGAACTGCACGCGGTTGGCGAGCAGGGCGTAGACTGTGTGTTCGTGTCAGTCCCTTGGTGATCCGTATGGGTGAGGAGTAGAGGCTGGCTGCGCACCTGTTGAAATGTTGCTGGGGTCGTACAGCTTATCCACCAAGGGCCTCACGACAACTGAGTTGACTCTGGGGTCCTTTAGTTGTTCTCGAGAAAATTCGTCATCTATGCGATGGTCAGTTATGCTGGGGAAAGTATGTAGTGTCGTCTTGACCAGCTCACCTTGTATACTGGCAATGATCAATCTCCGGACTCTGCCTCGGGTTAGCACAGCTTATGGCTATTGCCCGCGTCGGGTGGCCTCACCGATGAATTGTCATGTACACAGGCAGGCCTGCGAGGGCCTCGGCTCGCTTCTCGTCGTCTGTTTCGATCTCCTCGACCAGACAGGCCTCGGTCTCGGAGCGGCTGTCACCAGCATCATCGTCATCGTCATCGAGCACGCCGCGGCTCCTCCAGGCGTCATTGGCTCGGTCCATCCGGGACTGCAGCGTCTGTCTCTTGGACAGCGGCAGCGACAGCGACAGCGCGGGCACAGGTCGTCTTCGCAACAGCGAGCAGGTTGAGGTCATAAGCACGGGGTCAAGGCATCGAGTTCATCAGCATGGGGGGGGCTTTTGCGAGGTCAAGACACGCAAGGGACGAAGCGTCGTTCGGGGAAATCAGAGGTCGAAACTATTGCCTCGAGATTGCCTTACGTGAACAGAGTCGTGATGGGTGGGGACCACGACGGGACACCCTGGAACGTTGGCAGGAAAAGGGGCTTGGTCCGATTTACCTAATGCCTTCGCTTGCCAAGAGGCGAAATGGATATCCATTGCGAGCCGGAATAAGACCCCGGCTCGCATTATGTATGCGGCCGGGAGGTATCGTGGCACCGAGTTTTGTTTTGAAATGTGCCCGTGGGCACTTCCCACTGTCACAGCCTAGTTAGACCGTCAAACAGCCCCAAGGTTTGGTGACTGATGAGGATGGCGTCCGTGAGATGTACACATTCGTGCGGGTACGGGTTGATATCGATGCCGGCATAAGGAGCTTGTATGCTTATGCTGACTCCACTGCACGTTCGAGTAGAGTGTGTTGTGTTGGTGACAACTTGACTCGACTCCGTAGTTTGCGGGATGGACCATCGTGCTGGGCCAGTGTGTGGTATAAGGAATATGCATCTCGACACGACCCTCTAGAAAGAGTGAGAACTCGAGCTATAGATGCTCTCTTGCTTGCTCATGTGACACGAGTGGATGCACTCCATGTTGGTTGTGGCATGCCTTGGTTAGGAATGGCACATGTTGAGTTTGGCCATGAGTCTGAGGCCATCCCATCTTGTGGCAAGCACCAGATATTTGGCCTCAGTACGTACCTTCTACGCATTGCACCTGCCCTCTGCCTTGTAGGTAGGCAGGAAAGTGGGTAGGGCCTGTCGGCAGGCACAAACGAGGGAGGGAGGGACGGCAGGCAGGTGCTCACGCCCTCACTCCTCAGGCAGCAGGAGCTCCACACTAGCTGATTGCACGCTGTTTCTGCCAATTCTGACCGCCCCCACAAAATCTATATAAGGCCATCGAGTCGCCCGCCATTTGTCTGTTTCTCTCTTCTCTTCTTCATACTTACCTTGTTCAGTCTTGGGAGGCTCATGCATCTCTCAAGGCAAAGAGGATGACCTACATTGCACACCGTGGAGTCGGCCTTTTTCGATTGTCCTTCGGGGCCGTCGTGGGCGGAATTTTTGATTTACAAACACTCTTTTTCATTGCTTTCCTGTGCGCAGGGCTGCGAAGAAGGAGATCTGTGCAACACTCGCCTCCTTATTCTTCCAAACGAAATATCCCATGAGATTATCATCAAATCTACCACTGCCATTCCGTAACTTCGATGGCTCACTCGTTCATGACGAACGACCAAAGGATACACACGTAGCTTCAGATCGACAGACCCACGCGTTGACGCCCTCACTGGTCACAGGAACGGTTTCTCAATATGCTCCAGGTCTCATCGAAATATCACTTACTGTTTGAAACCAACTGTTACAGGTCTTTAGATATCTGGTTCGTATACAGACGTTTCCATTTACTAGTCCCTCAATTCGTAGCTCATGCTACATGTACATCCCTCCATTCGCATGCGCATCTTGCCATCGAGCTGCAGGGTACACCCCCTCGTGATGCTGATGAACGCCACTCACAAGGAGCTTCTGAAGCATTTTCATCGGCTTTTACTTCTCCAACCTCTTGCTTCGCATCACACAAACCTCATCATTCCAAGTTATCTAAGTCATCAGGGCAGTGAATAAAGCGGACAATCCATGTATGGCAAGGACCAGGATCAAAGTCAGAAGTGATAGCGAAGTCACGTGCTACAGGCACCTGCCCACGTCCATGATGAGGACGAAGCCTACGGCGTCGAGATAGTCTTCCACCTACGAGGATGTGCTGCAACTCTTCATCACGATGGTGACTCCCGGGGTACTAAGTCGCCTTCAAACACTTCTCAGGCTCGCGTTTTCTTGTCCTGCAAGAAATCGAGGCGCTGGCGGGCGACAACTTGCCTGGAAGCTTGCCCATGTGGCATGTTACTGGCGCATGGCGATGCGAACGCACACTTGTCAACGCCCCCGGACAAAGGCTGCCGACGACTCACCACTGGCCTACATAGAGGAGCAAACGGATTTGGTCAGTACCTCTGGCGGCGAGCTCTCTACGACGAGGCTCAGCGGTTCAGGCGGCGCTTGCCGGGCTGAACCACCTCAGTCTGCTTGTCCTCCTGCGGCTTGGTAGCTCCAACAGGCAGCGCGACGGTTGGCGGATCATAGCGGACAAGATCGGCGAGACGACCCGCGCGACGGGGTTTCCGACTTGCATGTACTGGCTTGCCGGTCTCCCCCTTGCTCTCCACGCGCTCTTGTTGGTGCTGGGCATCGTGGGGGCGGCGCACCAGTGTAGCGTCGTGACGCCGGTGCTGCTGCTGTATGTTGCGAGGGCTATGGTGCGTCTGACTGGCTTCTTGCGGTTCTTGCCTGTCGTGGTGCCGTCGTGGCGCCGCATGATGGGTGAGCTGGCGCTCGCCACAATTCGCCCAGTGTTGTTGGCGAAGTGGACTGCTCGGCTGCGCATACGGGTCTCGAAGATAGAAATAGCGATCATGCGCGCTCTGCTGCTCTACCGAGGGTCCACCGTGGATCTCCTGCTGCTGCGCGAAATCGCCGTACGTGCTGGGTGACTGAAAGGCTTGCTGGGCAGGGGTCGGTGCGGCAGGGGCAGGGACTTCACGGAGTTGACGACGAGTGTCAGTGCTGCGGACAGCGAGCTCTGTGTCATTGGCGCGGTTCGCCTCTTTGGCCTGCTTGAGTCTGTGATTCCGCTGGCGGAGGTGCCAGCCGATGACGCAGACTGCGACAAGTACTATGATGACGCTGATGACGATACCGAAGATGGCACCGCCGGTGAGTGTGAAACCGTAGCCCTCCATATTCCTTGTGGGAAGGGAAACTTACTCTGAGTGGTGATGTGAATGTCTTTCGTGTAAGTACGAATTGTATAGCTCAAATGGTTCCCCTATTGACGAGGGGATGTAGTCTCTTGTTGATGGTAAGCAATGGGAAACGTTTTAACCAGCTGCAGTTAGGCAGGCTCGTTTTATATAGTACCGAAAGCTATCATACATGTCATTTGGTTCTGTAGTTGAGAATAAGGCAATGTTCAACACTCTTTGTGGTTCAAGAAGCTGTCCTCAAAACACTCGAATCACCTAGCATCAGACAATGAACAGACACACAGCCACCAACCCAGGGGAACTACGGCTCGGCTCAAATTTAGCGGTTGTTCAGTTGTTACTGAACGCTCTTGTTGTACTGGGTTGGCATGTCAGCAACCTCATGATTGCAACGGGTGTGAGAGAAATGACAGCATATGAATAGGGGCATCATCATTGCTCCCAGACAGATGCGTTCAACATGGTTGCCATATCATCTCAACGTGACAATACAATCAATGTCATCTCGCCATGTCCTCGTGGCCAACGCCAGAACAAGACGCAAGTCTTCAGAACCGAGCTTTAATAACAGCCACTTGCAGGCAACCCGTGTGAAGAAACAAGACACCAGAGTCCCGACGCGTCGAACGCGTGCCTTCCTTCCATCTCAGAATCGCCCCTGTTTGGTGTTTCCACCGCCATCCTTCGCGATTATCCTTTATACCCTCTTTCCACAAACTGGTGCTTCATCACAAGCTTCGCGCACAATACCACAGACGATACGCCCCTCGCGCGCCGCTCTCAAGACCAGCTGCGCACGCCAAGCCCTTTTCTCAGAGACAAGCACCTCTCAGCCTCCTTCAAGCCTCTTTCATCCTCTTTGTCCGGGCAGCACGCTGATCTGAGCCGCCATGCCCGTCGTGACCAACTACCTGGCGCCCGAACGGCAGGCACCCAGAACACTCACGGCGCAGGCAGAGGCGTCGTCGACGGCGGCCCTCCCACACCCCGCTCCGCTCCTCCCCATCCCCGAAGCAAACTTCATCCCCCTCTACGTCCTCCTCGCCCTCGTGCCCCTGACCTTTCTCGCCGTCGGCCTCTGGGCCTGCCGCCTCGAGCGCAGAGCAGCCCGCGTCCAGGCCAGCGGCGACGTCGAGCTCCAGACCCTCCGAACCTTCTGGTTCCCCTGGCGCGAGGCCGTCGAAGTCAGCCCCCCGCCACCAGCCGTCGCCGCCGAGACAGCCACGCTCGCTCCGGGATCTGCGGCGAACCAGGGGACCCACGTCGACACCGCCGCCGCTGCCGCTGCCGCTGCCGCTGCCGCGCCGCCGCTGGCCCCCGAGGCAGCGACCACAAGCCAGCACCTCAGCTCGCGGTTCTCGCTCGACGAGTCGCCCACGCCCCGTGCCAAGAGGGGCAGAAGCAACGCTGCAGCGGCAGCAGCAGCAGCCAAGAAAAACAACGCAAAAGACGACAACTCCAGCAGCGACACTGACGCCAAGAAGAGCAGCGAACAGGCGGCGGCGGCGGCGGTGGCCCTCGCTGATGGCGCAAATCGTCTGCTCTCCCGTCTCCGCGCCGGCGAGGCAACGACGACCCTGCCCACGACCATCAAGGACTGGCGCTCCGTCCACGCGGCGCTGCTGCCGCATCGCTTCGGCCCGTCGCCGTTCCCGGGTCGTGGTGCTCACGGTGACGGCGGCCCGGTGAGTCCCACTATCTCGGCGCCCTCCTTCATCGGCTCCTCGGTGGTCTCTATTGGCGCCGGGCCGGATGACCTGAGGAGCAGCTGGGTCTCTGGTAGAGCTGCTGCTCCTGCTGCTGCCCCCTGCAAGGTTGTGAGGTTCGCTGGCGAAGGCTATGAAGAAGAAGAAGACGAAGACGACGGCAAGGGCAAGGGACGGGCTGGCATCCAGGTCACGACTCGCTCGGTCGTTGTCAGCAACCCGCAGAATGGGGAAATGTTCTGAACACAAGTGGCGTGCAGAGTCCGACATGTCTGCAGAGGCTCAGCATATTGGACACGCATACAAGGTTCCCCTTTCGGATTCAGAGTCGTGAAACCAGGGGAGCAAACGATGACACGGGAAATTGGCGTTGGCAAGAAGTGTTTGGATACCAAAGACGAGTTGCTGGCAACAGTGGAATGAAGTGTGGCAAAGTTGTAAATAAGAAATCTTGTTCTGCCAAAGGCTTCGCGCGGCTGGGTAGTGGACCCTGGTAGCCATGATAATGAAGAATAAACCCCCCAACGCCCTCTGTAGAGTAATGAATGCTCTGACAGTAAGATGCTTTCGCTCGCTGAACGCCTGACCTGGTGACTTCCATCACCTGTTCCCAAAAACCCTATTGAACGCCGGAACGGGTATGCCTACCGGACAATGCAGCAACACCCATTTAGACAATTAAGATGACAAGACGGAAATGATAGACAAATCATGACCCCTCGAATCATCTACCTCTTCTCGTCGTCCTTGACGCCCCAGATGGGTGCGCCCAGAGGCTTGCTGACGCCAAAGCCGACGCCGACGGAGATCCCGACAATCAAATAGGGCGAATGAGGAACCTGGGGAATGATGCGGGTTGCCCTTGCTGGAGGGGGG